TCCTGTGCTCCCCCACCCCAGGCCTTAATTGGCCAGGGGGCAGGGAAGTGCACAAAGCTCCTCCCGCCTTGCCAGGAGCACGTGGTGCTTTGAAGCTTCCTTTGTTCTTCCCTGGCTCTGTGAGGAGCCTGCAGCACTTCAAAGTGCCACATGGTCCTCCAGGGCTGGTGGAGGCTTCCCGTGCTCCCCCGCCCCCAGGCCCTGATTGGTCTGGGGGTGGAGGAGCGTGCCAAGTCTCTTCCAGGGCATGGGTTCCTAGTGGGCAGGGGCAATAAAGGGGTTTCCCCACCTCCAGACCAATCATGGTATGGGGGTGAGGTAGGCCCATCCGTTTCCAATTAGGTCCCACCCCTTCCTGTTTAGGCTCGTCCCTTCCGGGGTGTCCCGGGGTCACTTTGAAGTGTCCCTCGGGCAAAAATTATTGCCCACCCCGGGAGTAGGGCATGCAGGAGTCAGGGCAAGGGGTTGGGCAGTGTGTTGGGGGGGGGGCTCAGGATAGACAGGTGCTAGAATCAAGGCATGGGTGTAGAGGGGGGGCTCGGAAGAAGAATGGGTTGAGGGGACTCAGGGCAATGGTTTGGGGGGGCTGTGGGAAACTTCGGTCTGAGAGTGTGACCACTGTGTTTGCCCAGCTACCCAAGCACTGGGGTGGTGAGTATTGCGCTTGCCTGGCTGCCTGAGCATGGGGGCGGTGGGGACTGCACTTTCCCACCGCCTGAGCACCAGGGTTGGCAAGGGTGGTGGGGATGGCAATGCCTGGCTGCTTGAGCACTGGGGCTGCAGTCTGGGTGCCAGGCTGCTCAGTTGCCCAGGCTCTTATTGGTGCGCTGCACTAGAGTACCCCTGCTTACTTCCACCTTTGCTGACTAGGCAAAAGCAGTAGAGAGTCACACGAGGGTAATTGAGGGAGGGAAGGCAAGCTAGGGAGGAAGAAGGTCACATCATATTTTGTCAGATTTCTCTTGGTAAAAATGGCAAGATCCTGTGCAGAGAGAGGGTATGTCTAGACTACATGGCTCCGTCGACAGAGCCATGTAAACTAGTTTACCCGGCATAGGCAAAGAAGCGGGGATTTAAATACTCCCCGCTTCATTAAAATAAACATGGCCACCGTGCTGTGCCTCGTGAAACGAGGTTTACAGGGTGGGTTGGCAAAGGCTTCCCCAGCCGACAGATCCGCGTCTAGACTGCCACACTGTGCCGGATCAGTTGATCAGCTTCCTTGCCTATGTCGGGTAAACTAGTTTACATGGTTCCGTCGACGGAGCAATGTAGTCTAGACATACTCAGAGAGTGTATATCTATGTTGGCTACATGGTTCCGTCGACGGAGCAATGTAGTCTAGCCATACCCAGAGAGTGTATATCTATGTTGGAAACACCGACTGCAATATTAACTTGAGAACGACAAAGAAGGAATTACTGTGCTAGGCAACTTGCCTTTCCCAGCTTACTTTCCTGCATAAGAGTGTATATCCAGACTGAGCAAATTAGTCTGTGACAGCTCTCAGATCCTGTTGCTCAGGTCAAGGATTGCAAAATTACTAGCAATTTTCTGGATCTAAAAGTGCCAGCCAGTGGTGCTACCCTATTCTTTTGAAAGGTTACTCAAGGGGCAGAATCTGAATTGTCTTGCAATACAGCATACATCTGTGGATAGATGTCAGGGGCTGGAAGTGATTCACTTGGAAAGCCTGCAGCAGTTTACCATGTCATTACTTACAGTGAGCATGGCTAGAGTTATTTAATGCTGAGGAATTCATGTGGCTGAGATGTGAAAGGGAGGGGCGGATGGGAGAGTGCACTGAAAGTCTGAA